GCTAATGAAATCTTAGATAACTGCAAGCAACTTTTGAGACAAAAAAATAAAACACACCACACGTTTTTCTACATGACATAAGCATCTTTCTTTTCTTTTTTTCTTTTTTAAAATATATTTTATTGATTTTTTACAGAGAGGAAGAGAGAGCTAGAAATGTCGATGAGAGAGAAACATCTACCAGTTGCCTCCTGCACAGCCCCTACTGGGTCTGTGCCCGAAACCAAGGTACATGCCCTTAACCGGAATCCATCCCGGGACCCTTCAGTCCGCAGACCGAGGCTCTATCCACTGAGCCAAACCGGTTTCAGCTTAAAGCATCTTTCTTAAAAGTTTACATTTTTATTTTGATGTTTGGTTTTCATTTTTAAAAAATATATATATTTTATTGATTTTTTTTTAATCGAAAGGATGGGAGAGGGATAGAGAGCCAGAAACATCGATGAGAGAGAAACATCAACCAGCCGCCTCCTGCACAGCCCCTACTGGGAGATGTGCCTGCAACCCAGGTACACGTCCTTGACCGGAATCCAACCCAGAACCCCTCACTCCACAAGCCAACACTCTATCCACTGAGCCAAATGGTTTCGGCTGATGTTTGCCTTTCAAATCCATGTATTTGTAGGCTGGATTATTAACTTAAATTTCCTTTTACATGCAAAATAAATAACACAATGAAAAGGTTCTAATTGAGGAAATGTCATAGTACCCTCTCTGAGCGCAGAAACTATTAATCCATCAGCTGAGGGATGTCCATCTCTGCCTACCACTATACTGTAAACAAGAATGTAGGTTTAGAGTTCGAAAGGACTATATATATATATATATATATATATATAGAGAGAGAGAGAGAGAGAGAGAGAGAGAGAGAGAGAGAGATGGCCTGAGGTCCCTAGTCAAGCCCCACCAGCAGGGGGGAGCACCCTCAGGTCCCCTATCAAGCCCCGCTGGGTAAGGGGTGCAGCCTGAGGTCTCACATCAAGCCCCGCCAGGCGGAGTGTGTTTTCTGAGGTCCTCAACCTGGTGCCCGGGGTAGGGGGAGTGGCCTGAAATCCCCTATCTAGCCCCAAGGGGACAGAGAGGATGTAGCCTCAGGTCCCTGTTGATTGCTCCTTAAGGCTCCTTATGGGAACTTGGCCTCAGCTGTGGGTGCAGTCATCTTTGTGATGGAGTGATTGTCAATTAGCATATCTCTACTTTATTAGATAAGATTGTTACCTGTTAACTATCCTGTCCTCATCTGTGTATGTAAAGGAAACACATGTCTATCATTTTAATGTTTAGCCAATCACAGGTTTCCCCACTTTGCTTTCTCTCACCTCCATGATCTACCACCAACAGATTTTGGATAACACACTTGAGGGTAATTTATAAAAATAGGTGAAAACCACCATTCTCTGGTGCATTATCTTAATTTATTGAGGTTCTGCTTCCCGGCAAAACCTCAATGAATTAAGTGGACAGTTTGGGTCCAATAAACTCACAAACATTCTTTGCAGGTTTGATGTTCCTCATGTGAACAGCTACAATGTAAGGAACACAGAGTCAGTGACTAGCAAGCCTTGCTATGCTGGCCAAGGACAGTGACGATGGTCAAAGGTCACAGCATGACACAAAAATGACAGGACACCCAGGACAAAGACGGAGCTGGTGCTCACACCTCCATCTCTCCAGAAGGGATGAGGGAGGCTGAGGGTGCTCTCTCTTTGAAATGGAGGATATGAGAACGGAGGCCCGATTGGCAGGGAGCTTCCCGTCCCCTCTGGGGTCCTGGCTGCCCGGCCTTCGGCCCATTTCCTACCCGAAGGGGCTCTTCTGGGTCCGCTCCTGGTTCTACACGGATCTGACGTGAGTCTCAGGGTCTCTGATCCTGGACTCGAGATCGCAGCCCAGCATTGGCCTTGCTCAGCGAGTCTGGGCGCCCTCCCTCCCGCTCATCCGGAGAAACAGGGAGAAGTCGGCTGAGTGGCTGGGCTCCTCCTCCCACAGGGTCTGTTTGAGAAGCCCACACACGTCCTGTTTAGCTCAGGGGCTGGCTGCAGGGCCCAAGGATTCCTACACTTAATGGGGGGAGGGTGTGGGCGGTTTTATCTCAGACAGACCTACCAGGAAAATCGCCCAGAGGTCTGTCTGGCACATTGGAACCCAGGGCGGGCTTTTCAAACATTCCCCGCGCCCAATGAGAGCGGGGAGGAAGCAAAAACGAAATATTGGCTGTTTTGGCAGGAGGCCAAAAGCAACGCCTCTTCCAAACTGCCTGAAAGAACCAAACTAAAAAAATTAAAAAACAACATGCATACACACACACGAGTTGGGGGTACAAAATGTTAACTGGTGAACGTAGAGGAAAATATTCAGTGTACTATTCTTATAACCTTACTATAGGTTTAAAAAGTTTTAAATAATAGGGGGGGGGGGGAAAGAACCCGACTGAACTGGCAGACACTGGCACCTACTCATCCAAGCACGATTTCCCTCTCTCCAGGGGCGTTCCTCGCTCAAACCAGCCCTAACACTCTCTCCCCTCCCTCCACCCGCATCCGTTAAGAAAACTCAGAGGGAAACTGAGCCAGCTGCTTCTGTGAAGGCGTGGGTGGCTCTGAAAAGAGCCTTTGGGGTTGGGAGCCGGGCCTCGGCGCCTCACTTGGAGCTGGTGTACTTGGTGACGGCCTTGGTGCCCTCGGACACGGCGTGCTTGGCCAGCTCGCCGGGCAGCAGCAGGCGCACGGCCGTCTGGATCTCGCGGGACGTGATGGTGGAGCGCTTGTTGTAGTGCGCCAGGCGCGACGCCTCGCCCGCGATGCGCTCGAAGATGTCGTTGACGAACGAGTTCATGATGCCCATGGCCTTGGACGAGATGCCGGTGTCGGGGTGCACCTGCTTGAGCACCTTGTACACGTACACCGAGTAGCTCTCCTTGCGGCTGCGCTTGCGCTTCTTGCCGTCCTTCTTCTGCGCCTTGGTCACCGCCTTCTTGGAGCCCTTCTTCGGGGCGGGAGCGGACTTGGCGGGCTCGGGCATAGTCGAGAGGAGCCGCCGAAGAAGCTGGGGAACCACTGGGAGGACGAGAGTGAGTGAGGCTGCGAGTGTCCTCTGGTCCCGGCTCCTTAAAGGAGGCGGGAGTGAAGGCGTGTCCGACCGGTAGCGAGTCACGGCACGTCACAGGGTGTCGTCCATTGAGAACCAGGGCATTTCAGACCCGGGACCCCATTGGCTCAGGGAAAGGCTGTGACCCGCCGCCAATGGCACAGACTCACTTTCGCGCCCCAGCGCGACTATAAAGGGGGCGGCTCCGGGCGCTTCAAGGCAGACCCAGGTCTGAGCAGAAGCTTTCTTTTTGCCATCACCATGTCTGGACGCGGGAAGCAGGGCGGCAAGGCGCGCGCCAAGGCCAAGACGCGGTCCTCGCGGGCCGGCCTGCAGTTCCCGGTGGGCCGCGTGCACCGCCTGCTCCGCAAGGGCAACTACTCGGAGCGGGTCGGGGCCGGCGCGCCCGTGTACCTGGCGGCCGTGCTCGAGTACCTGACGGCCGAGATCCTGGAGCTGGCGGGCAACGCGGCCCGCGACAACAAGAAGACGCGCATCATCCCGCGCCACCTGCAGCTGGCCATCCGCAACGACGAGGAGCTCAACAAGCTGCTGGGCAAGGTGACCATTGCGCAGGGCGGCGTGCTGCCCAACATCCAGGCCGTGCTGCTGCCCAAGAAGACCGAGAGCCACCACAAGGCCAAAGGCAAGTGAGGAGCAAGTCGCAGCCTTCAGAACCAAAGGCTCTTTTCAGAGCCACCCACCTCCTCAGTGAAAGGGCTTGCGCTTTCTCTTTGTTTAAACAGCTGCTGGAGAATGGCTTTTACCGGGTTTTGTCAGTAAACATCCCATGAGTGAAATTTAACCAAACATTAAAAAGGTACATTAAGCAGAAAAGTTAGCAGCCAAGTAGAAACAAAAGGTGTTAGGTTTCAGGTAATTAAGGCCATCAATGAAGCAATACCCCCAGGTTAAGTCAAGAAATACATTGTGTACAATGGGAATGGTTGGACAAAGTTGACTAAGTGCAAATGTAGTTAATGACCTGCGGCAATAAAACTATCTTTCAGTCTGTTGTTGGGTAGTTTTGCATCTTAATAGGACAAATCACCTTTAGGTGGGTCTGCAACTTCACTGGTCCTTAACCGTTTGCAAATAGGAAAACCATACTTATGTGCCTGTAGTCATGCACATTTCTTTACTTTTGTCAATTACGCTCTTTCCGCTTTCACCCGCCCCAGCCCCATGTCCTTAGTCAGAACTTAATAGCAATCTTCAGCATTACTTTAAAAAGGCTCTTAGTAATCTTTGCATCATTTATAAATTTGAGTATTTTTCAAACTTCATTTTTCACAAGCCTCAAAAGTGTAAAACGTAGTGGAATGCTTTCTATGAGGAAGTGGGTGATAAATATATTAATGAAGTTGCCACAGAAAATAAAATCACTTCAATTAATGGTCTTGTTACATTTAGGAAAAGTATATAAAAACAGGAAAGGCAAAATTCTCCAAGTTCGGGGGAGGGGGAAGGGATAGTTTAAGGTCAAACGTGGAAATCAAGCTATTTACGTTGAAATGCGTCTTCTTAAATTTGAATGAGGCAAAAACATGTCCCTTAGCCAATCACATCCAGCGCGCGCCTTTTCAAACGGAACATAGGAAAGGCAGGTTAAGCGCCAAAATTTACAATTCTTCTCAAGCGAACAACATATGTCATTGTTACCGGGATGACGCCAAAATATAGTGGAAGAGACGGTATAAAGACGATAGTAACGAAAGACGGTAGAAAACACTGCTGAAAGGGTGCTTGGGAGGAAAAAGTTAATTTTCGGTCTTAACCCACCGGAAGTCCCACCTATCCGGAAGGGATTGCCGTTCGCAGTAACTTAGTCTGAGACTTGATGGACAGATAACTGTTCCAATCAGAGCGGGTCTCGCCTTATATAAACTGGTTGAGCTCCAGCTTCCTCACTCTTCTCTAGGTTAAGGGCTCCTCGTTCCCAATGGCTCGCACGAAGCAGACGGCGCGCAAGTCCACGGGCGGGAAGGCGCCCCGCAAGCAGCTGGCCACCAAGGCGGCCCGCAAGAGCGCGCCGGCCACGGGCGGCGTGAAGAAGCCGCACCGCTACCGGCCCGGCACCGTGGCGTTGCGCGAGATCCGGCGCTACCAGAAGTCCACGGAGCTGCTGATCCGCAAGCTGCCGTTCCAGCGCCTGGTGCGCGAGATCGCGCAGGACTTCAAGACCGACCTGCGCTTCCAGAGCTCGGCCGTCATGGCGCTGCAGGAGGCGTGCGAGGCCTACCTGGTGGGGCTGTTCGAGGACACCAACCTGTGCGCCATCCACGCCAAGCGCGTCACCATCATGCCCAAGGACATCCAGCTCGCGCGCCGCATCCGCGGGGAGCGGGCCTGAGCTCCGTCCTTCGCACCAACACGGAAACCCAAAGGCTCTTTTCAGAGCCACTTCCCTCCTCCCTGGCAGGGGCTGCTGCACTCCTACTGGCGGGTTAATAACGCAGACCTCAGCGCAGTATGGAGGGAAATGGGGACGGGTCCCTGGCCTTCCCTCCACAACTTTGGGTATCTATCCCTTTCTTCAATCAATGGAGTGTAAAGATTGGCAAGGCCTCATTGAGTTCAGTGTTCACATTATGGTTGCTATTTAGGGAAACTAAGTTGCTTAAGGAACTGGCTTGGGACACTAGTAGTTTCAAAGGCAACAATGTATCTGCAAAGATAGTCTCCACTTGGACCCTTGTTATCCACGTGGAAAGAGGTAAAGGGAAGGAATCTGTCCACAGGAAAGGGACTCAGCCCATCCCGTAACAAGGGGTTCAGAGAGTAGATATTGGCACCTCCTTTGGATATTCACAAATGTGGCAGTCATGAAGAGGTTTAGTTTTCAGTTTTCACATTTTGTATATGAATCTCACAGTAACTCTGTACTTCCTCTCCAACTCTAAAAGGCCCTCAAATATTAGGGATGAAGCCCATGCAGTTTTCTTTAAACAGGGAAGAAAAGGAGATGGGAAGTCAGCTTCCAATGGCTGTAGAAAAACAGTTGAATTAGGGTTATTCTGGTTTTCACTTGCCTTAGTGGCCCAAATGACAGTTCAGTTCTGTAGTAGTTTATTCACTTTTAAGGGGAAAGTCTTATTTTTTAAATGGAGACAGCATAGTGACTAATATAGGAATAGTTTTCAAACTTCAGTTTTAATCAGATAATAATGCAAATTAAAACCTTGAAATAACTGCATAACACCCAGCAGATGATCAAAGTCAGAAAGTTGGGTTTGCCAAGCATTGCATGAGGAGTGGAGAAAAGTGGTTTACCGATGTGGGGGCTGGGTGAAAAATGTGAAGGGATTAAAGTAAAGAGATTTGGGAAATGCCGAGACAAGGAAACAGATAAGAAACGAAAGAAATGGAGGACAAAAAGCGACTGGATATAGAGTTCAAAACCACACTTATAAGGTTTTTCAAGAATTTCATAGAAAAGGCCGATAAAATAAAGGAGACCTATGAGGATATGAAAAGGGATCAACAAGAAATAATAAGGGATCAACAAGAAATAAAGAATACGTTGTCTCAAATAAAAAATATTATACAGAGTCCTAAAAACAGAATGGAAAATCGCAAGAATCAAGTCAAAGATTTGGAACATAAAGAGCCAGAAGACACTCTGCAGAAGCAAGAAGACAAGAGAATCCAGAAAGTTGAAGATAGTATAAGAAACCTCTGGGACAACTTCAAGCAAAGCAACATCAGAATTATGGGGGTCCCAGAAGAAGAGAGAGAGCAAGATACCGAAAACATACTGGGAGAAATAGTGACAAAAAACTTCCCACCTGGTGAAAGAGTTAGACTTACAAGTCCAGGAAGCACACAGAACCCCAAACAAAAGGAATCCAAAGAGGACCACACCAAGACAAATCATAATTAAAATTCCAAGAGCAAAAGACAAAGAGAGAATATTAAAAGCAGCAAGAGCAAAGCAGGTAGTTACCTACAAAGGAGCACCCATACAATTGTCAGCTGATTTCTCAACAGAAACCATGCGGCCAGATGGGAATGGCAAGAAATATTCAAGGTGATGAATAGCAAGAACCTACAGCCAAAAATAATCTACCCAGCAAAGCTATCACTCAGAATTGAAGACCAGATAAAGAGCTTCACTAATAATAATAATAATAATAAATAAATAAATAAATAAATAAATAAAAAGCTAAAGGAGTTAATCACCACCAAACAAGAATTATATGAATTGCTGAAGGGGGTTCTTTCGGAAGAGAAAGAAAATAAAGATAAAAATTATGAACAACAAATACGTAACTATCAACAATTGAATCTAAAAACCAAGGGAATTAAAAAAAAATCTGATGAACAATATTAACTGGTGAATATAATAGAATCAGAGGTTTGGAAGGGGAGTGAACTGACGATTCTCGGGGGGAAAGGAGAGTGGGGGATGTGGGAAGAGACTGAACATAAACTGTGCACCTATGGATAAGGACAATGGGAGGTAGGAAAAGGGCAGAGGGTGGGGTGGGAACCTGGTCAAGGGGAGCAATGGAAGGGTGAAAAATGAGGAACATTTGTAATAATATGAACAATAAAGATTTATTTAAATATATATATAATCTTTTTTTAAAATAACCAATGGGAAAATATCCATTTTTTAACATCTATTTTGGATTTTTTTTTCTTCAAAAAACAGACTATGGGTGAGGGGATGGGAGGAAAAAATAAAATAAAATCAAAACATTTGGGAGTCATCAGTAAATAAAAGTATTTAAAGGAAATAAGTGCCTACAGATCTCTCCTGGTTCTTCCCTGCATCTTAACCTCTAATTTAGTGCCAATATCCAATTTTGGTTCATTTGTGTGTACACACCAGAAGCCCTAGATCTGGCAATGCTAATTCGGTGCTGGAATTCCTGTACTTTCCTTTAATTTCCAGTTCTTTAGCCCTCAGCCCAGAGGTTATCTCTTAAACATCTGATTCCTCCCTATGTTTCCTTAGCATCCTGTCTACTTTTCTTGCTACATTGTGCTTTATTTGCTTTTGTGTTACTCCCCCTTATATGGAGTTACTTTAGAACAAGCAGTGTCTTACTAACATATTCTTAACTGGTGGGATCTAAGGGTGAAGTACATTATTTGTCAAAAGTATAAATGCATTACAATTAAAAATAAATAAAAAAAAAACAGAAGAAATAGTCTTTGTGCCTGCATTTCTTGAAATGGCAAACTGGGAAGTGGCAGAAATGTTCCCATCTTTTCCAAGGCCTAGATTAAAAGGACCTGGCCATGCTGGTATAGACAGGAGAAACACACCACAATGTTTGACCTCTCTTTCTCAAAACAGCCTCAGCTTTATTCAGAGAAGTTTGTTCATATTTTTAAAACTGTAGGTCTCCACCATCACTGCTCTTGGATTCACTCCTTAGCATCTACTAGTCATTGCTACTGTAATGGACAATCAATGGGTCAGTGCTGTCTGTCATACGTCAGCCAATTCATCAGGGACAGAGTTGAATCTATATGAGCATTTATTCTAATACTGCTGGCAGTATGGGAGAGCAGTAGGTCACCCACAAAAATCTGCTCTGCACCCCTCCATAAACCAGCTGCTTATATTGGGTAGGACAAAGATTACATGGGAAGTAAGCAAAAGGGTATGGCAAATGGGCTGTTTACAGGTAATGCAGGCTGGAGATTTGCAAAGGCTTGCAAGTATGAAAATGCTAGGGTTCTTCAAAGCGCTGGTAGTTCTGGTTTCCCTAACAAGGTTGTTCATCTTTTCCTAAGAATAGGCTGCTCCCTGATGAGAACAGGCTGCATTTCCAGGTAAGCTCCCAGGTTCCACCTGCAACTCCCCACCAGGTTAGAACGTGCCTTCTTTAACCAGAACAAAGCAATCATGGGTAACAAAGCATGGTTAATATTTCTTACACTTACAGCTGGTCCCCAACATTGTATTTCTGCCACCACCACTGTGACATGCGGACATCTAGCATGCCTGATGCAATACATATATTGTCAAGTAATCCTAGAAATCAGGTGCTTTAACATTTAAGACAATAACCGATTCAAGGTTCAAGATTCGCCACCTTCCTAATGGCACACAACTGGTGTCTATGGAAACCACCCCTGCTCATGTCCCAAGAGATGCTCAGATTTGGTGACGCGTGTCACTTAAGCTTACTTCCAGTATGTACCTGGGCGAACATCTCGAGCACGGCGGTGGAATTATAGCACATCTAGAACACAAACATGTCAAATTGCCTGCATCGCAAAAGCTGTTGTGTGCCAATTCTGCAATGTGGATAAACTGAGGCAGACAGTGAAGGTGCCTGATGTTTACTGAATAGGAAAGAGGTGGAAGTGATTGAAAACAAGTAGGTCGTGCTGACTTTCTGGTGACTATGAAAGGGGCTCTGAAAAGTCCTTTTGTTCACTTGCTTCCAAACGTGGTCTTCACTTGGCCTTGTGGTTGATCTCGGTCTTCTTGGGCAGCAGCACGGCCTGCTTGTTGGGCAGCACGCTGCGCTGCGCAATGGTCACCTTGCCCAGCAGCTTATTGGGCTCCTCATCGTTGCGGATGGCCACCTGCAGGTGGCGCGGGATGATGCGCGTCTTCTTGTTGACGCGGGCCACGTTGCCTGCCAGCTGCAGGATCTGGGCCGTCAGGTACTACAGCGGCCGCCAGGTACGCAGGCGCGCCCACCCCGACCCGCTCCAAGTAGTTGCCCTTGTGGAACAGGCGGTGTACACGGCCCACGGGGAACTGCAGCCCGGCCCGCGAGGACCGCGTCTTGTCCTTCCTGCGCCCAGACAACCTGACAACAAACTTCACTGCAAGTGGCTGCGAAAGCGAAAGTGCTCGGGCGGCACTTTTTATAAAAGTTTGTGGCGCGAAAAAGCAGATGTGTCATTGGTTAGGGTTTCAGCTACATCTTAACCAGTGAAAGTGCAATTTGGGATTCTGGCGCTCTGATTGGGCAGAGCTAAGTTTGCAGATTGCTCTCCAATAACCAACAGACACAGGTCTTTGGTTCATCACCTGATTTGCATGCGAGGTTGTATATAAATAGAACACAGCGTGCCCCGTCCTTACTATTCCCCTCACCGACCTCCTCCACCCAGCTTCCACCATGCCCGAGCCCGCCAAATCCGCTCCCGCCCCGAAGAAGGGCTCCAAGAAGGCGGTGACCAAGGCGCAGAAGAAGGACGGCAAGAAGCGCAAGCGCAGCCGCAAGGAGAGCTACTCGGTGTACGTGTACAAGGTGCTCAAGCAGGTGCACCCCGACACCGGCATCTCGTCCAAGGCCATGGGCATCATGAACTCGTTCGTCAACGACATCTTCGAGCGCATCGCGGGCGAGGCGTCGCGCCTGGCGCACTACAACAAGCGCTCCACCATCACGTCCCGCGAGATCCAGACGGCAGTGCGCCTGCTGCTGCCCGGCGAGCTGGCCAAGCACGCCGTGTCCGAGGGCACCAAGGCCGTCACCAAGTACACCAGCTCCAAGTGAGGCGCCGCGGCCCGATTCCTAACCCCAAAGGCTCTTTTCAGAGCCACTCCATCTTCTAAAGAGAACTGTGACTCACTTTTCACACCGGTCGGGTAAGTGTTATTCTCAGCAAAGTGCTTGGCGTGTTATCTTTCGATCTAGTTGTAAACTTCGTTCAGTACAACGCAGGACATGCCGAGGCCGCCGTCCACATTTTGAGGTTGGTCTAAGTGTCAGGTTCTTCTCATACCAATGTGGTAAAGAATAGCAAAGTCCTCATCATTAAGACAATTAAATTGCATGTTAACCTGCTGAAGGCTTCTTTAAGGTTCAATATCCCATAATGCAATGTGTTCCTTGC